CTCTGGCTGTGATAATTAGATTACCCATTGTGTTCAGTAATCATATCACAGCCAGAGGGGAGGATTTTGTGTGGGAGTGTCTGGGTGTATTGTATGGATTGATTGGCTGTTTTGTAACGCCCTGTGGGCTGTACTATGTTTGTGGATTGGGAATAAAAGAGACTGTATGTGACAGTACAGGCAGTTCCTGTTTTAACCCTCAAAGTGAAGTGTTGTCTCATTATTGGGGGAAGGATTTATTGTATGCTGTTCCAGTTTGACTGCTAGGAGAGTAAACCTATTCGTATGGTTCCTATTCAACTGTCTACAGCATTCATATGCTTGAGAGCATTCATATGCTTCTCCGGTTCGGTGGTTTGTGGTGTCTGCTGCAGTGCTTGGAGTCCTCAGGAAGCGCTAGGAGCATCCTTTAACGGAGGTACCCAGTCGGGGTGCCAGGCGATCCGTTACATTGGTGGCAAGCGGTGGGATGGCATCCTAGTGCGAGGTAAAGCAGCTCAGAGACACAGTTCGTTTGGAGTTACAATTTGAGGGCAACGCCAGTACCCGTACAGCTCAGAAAATGGAGGAGAAGTTGCAAGATAGATTGTACTGTTACGTATCCCTGAGGTCAGGAGCAGTGTCAGAGGAAGACATGTTGAGATACAGAGAGAGTGCCAGAGCTGAGTTGTGGGACGAAGCCCTAGAGGAAGTACAGTATTCACGAGGGGATCGGCGCCACAGCAGAAGGCAGCGAATCCTTGCTCGAATGGCAGAGCGGATGCACCTCCTGAAGAAAAAGACCGAAGAAGCGTGGGTGATTAGACTCGAGATTTTAGTATATGCAGAACTGGCGCTCGACGACGCATACCAGGCGATACAGTGGTACGCAGCTCAGTGTGTCCCCGAGTTGGCAGAGTATGAGTTCCCAGAAGGCGGAGGTTACGCTGGCTCTGGCCTATTTTGGGACAATATTGACGATGAGGACTTTGGGAAAGCTACTGACTCTCGTTTTTGGGACCTGTGTTCCGACCGAGAAGACATGCTGGGGCTCCCTAGTGCTATTGACCTTGAGGCAGACATACAGTATTTGGTCACCAATGAATGGAACCTGGAGTGGGATTACCTGCGACTCATCAATGAGGCCCGGGAAGAGACAGACGGTCCTTTGTCCCAACAGCAACCAGCGGTACCCGAGGTAGCGGACCTCCTAGACTGGTCCTGCGAGGGTCCCCAGCGGCAGTGTGTGTCCCAGGGAGCAGATGGTGTCGTCCTTCCTCCCCAGCGGCAGTGTGTACCCCAGGGAGCAGAAGGTGTCGTCCTTCCTCCCCAGCGGCAGTGTGTACCCCAGGGAGCAGAAGGTGTCGTCTTTCCTCCCCAGCGGCAGTGTGTATCCCAGGGAGCTGAAGGTGTCGTACTTCCTCCCCAGCGGCAGTGTGTATCCCAGGGAGCTGAAGGTGCCGTCCTTCCTCCCCAGCGGCTGAAAGTATGTATGGGAGAGGAGCTTGTTATCCCCTCTCCCCAGCGGCAGCTTAGCCCACCAAGGGGAGACAGTAATCTCCACAACAGTGCAGATAGGACAGTGGTCTCTGCACATGCACCACCGGGGGTAGGGACAGTCGGTCCTGTCCCCCAGCAGCAGGACTGTTTAGGCAAAAGGGAGGCAGTCTGTCTCCCCCTCCAGCAACCAGGCTCCAACCAAACTACTCCCGTGGTAGTGCTGGCACCAGGACAGAGTACCGCTGGTCTCTGCCCACTCAGCAACCCACCCAGTACGCTTACCAGTCACCCACACAGCCATGGTGAGGCACCTGGACACGGACAAAGTTCTCCTCTACCCAGGTGTAGTAGCCAGTTATTGTGGGTGGGCTGTATTACTGATTGTGTTTTGTGGGTGGGCTGCTGGACTAACAAGGGCACTGACCGGCAGGAGGTCAGATACCCCGTTAGTCTGATTGGTAAAGGGGAGAAGTGTGGCGGAACCAACCTCGCCACTATGCACTGGAGAAGCCTGGTTGCCTTCCTCCTGCCATGTGACTATGGCCCCTGGGATGTATTGCCCTTTAAAGACATGATTTGGTCATAATTGATTTGTGTTGTGCTGCTGCTGGCCCTTTTAAGAACCATCTGGGGACATACTGTGGAGTTACTGGGTGGCCACCATTTCCTGTATCAGAAGCACATGGTGAGAACAATGGATGGCGGCCATTTTAACTCACAGATACTGTGTGGACTTTTCAACACGGTGCCATCTCGCCAGTATTTGTTGCACAGAGACATCGTGCGGTGGTTTTGGACTATACAGCAGGGGACACATTATACATTGATTGTTTTTTATTTAGCCTGTATATGTTCTGCAGAATCTGCATTAAACTGTATTTTCCAAAGTACTGAACGGATCTGGGTGAATTTTGGATATGTGGTTCACCCAAATCCCCCAGTTCCAAGGATATACTTTATGGGGTTATTGCATGTTTTGGGGTCCCTGTAATGTGTTTTATGAAACTGTATTTCTCTGGCTGTGATAATTAGATTACCCATTGTGTTCAGTAATCATATCACAGCCAGAGGGGAGGATTTTGTGTGGGAGTGTCTGGGTGTATTGTATGGATTGATTGGCTGTTTTGTAACGCCCTGTGGGCTGTACTATGTTTGTGGATTGGGAATAAAAGAGACTGTATGTGACAGTACAGGCAGTTCCTGTTTTAACCCTCAAAGTGAAGTGTCGTCTCATTATTGGGGGAAGGATTTATTGTATGCTGTTCCAGTTTGACTGCTAGGAGAGTAAACCTATTCGTATGGTTTCTATTCAACTGTCTACAGCATTCATATGCTTGAGAGGATTCATATGCTTCTCCGGTTTGGTGGTTGTGGTGTCTGCTGCAGTGCTTGGAGTCCTCAGGAAGCGCTAGGAGCATCCTTTAACGGAGGTACCCAGTCGGGGTGCCAGGTGATCCGTTACACACGTGCACTCAAAATCTGTTCTTAGTGGAACCTGTCCTGTGAGACTGCTGTATGGTCTTGCCCACTGTGCTGCAGCTCAGTTTTTATGGTCTTGGCAATCTTCTAATAGCCTAGGCCATCTTTATGTAGAGCAACAATTATTTTGTTCATATCCTCAGAGAGTTCTTTGCCATGAGGTGCCATGTTGAACTTCCAGTGACCAGTATGGTGAGAGACTGTGAGCGATCACACCAAATTTAACACACCTTCCCCACATTCACACTTGAGACCTTGTAACTTTAACGAGTCACATGACACCAGGGAGGGAAAATGGCTAATTGGGCCCAATTATTACATTGTAGTAGAGTATAATTTCTTCATTGTTGACACGTGAAAAGATATAATAAAATATTTACAAAAATGTGAGGGGGTGTACTCAGAAACTGTGTGTGTGTATGTATGTATATGTATATATATATATATATATATATATATATATATATATATATATATAATATATACATAGTAACGGACCGTTTTGCACACAAGGGGTAAAAACCGTTTAGGCGACCAGCCCCCTTTCCAGAGATACAGGCACAGCTACTGCAGAACACCAAACTCCCGAACTGGATACAAAATAGCACTCCAACTCCCGAACTGGAACCTCCCAAATAGCTGCTAGCAGACGAACAGGAAAAGCAGACAATCAGCTTACACTCCTGGCAATCAGTCTCTAACAGCATACAGTGAATCCCCCCAAGAACGAGACAAGGCTCCGTGTTGAGGGTCAAGCAGTGGTCTGTTTAATGAGGGCTACCTGCCCAGTATTTATGCAGGTCTCCCACCTGGTGGACACTCCCCTAGGGGACCAAATGGGAGACTGTGACAAAAGACAGACAAGTAGACAAATAGGACACACAGTCACAATATATTCCCACAATGCATCCTGGCTTCCTCCCCTCTGCCCTGGGAGATAATTGAGAAGTAATTAAATTATCTCCCAAGACAAAGGCAAAACTCCATTACACATGTGGGGATACAAAACCAGTATTATACTTTAAAATACATAAAGTAACATTTATTACATAAAACACAGACATGTAACATATCCCCAGATAGCTCAGGTCTGAGCGCACATTATTAAGCGAATGGCGCTCAGACCACACGAATACAGTTTAATCGCCATGGAGCCAAAGTCTTTATAGTCAGTTTCATACGAATGGGCTCCATGGGATTCCTATCTGGGGTATAACACATTCAACCAAAACTACCGAACACCGGGCCGTTCGTGCACTTCCACCGAACAAGAAGGGAGGTCGGCGGCTTCAGCGGTGTTCGCGCAAAACTGTGTCCGATTTTAGTTCGATGAAAATAGGGGCGAACACCGCTGTGCATTCGTATGTTTAAAATGGCCGCTACCTCGTGTTCGGGATACGAATGGCAGCACCCAGCATTCGTCAATTAAGCTGCGGTTAACCGCAGCTTCAGGGAGGTTAATTGCTGGCACACTCCAGCTCCCAGGTGGTCTATTCATTCGTGCGGTTGTTCGGTAGATTTAATCTACCGAACAACTGGCAGAAAAGCACGCATACAGCTTTTCTCCAGGCGAAATAAAGTCTTTTAAAAGGGGGCCATAGTCCAGAGGCAGCAGGCGAGCAACCAGGCTTCTCCAATGCAATGTGGCGAGATTGGTCTCGTCATATATATATATATATATATATATATATATATATATATATATATATATATATGTATATGTATGTGTTTTAATGGGGAAAGGGGTAGGAACAAGGAAGGTTTGAGATGCTGAAGCAAGAGAAAAGGTAGTGCTTTTAACTGTCGTACTATAGACTACTAAGCTTCAAGGGCACCTATTCTATCTGAGAAAACTATCTGCTAGTCTAAGGTAAGCACCATTTAGGAAAAGATAAGTCATGAACGTGCCTTGCCTATACTACTCTGAAAAAACATTATATCCGGGGGGCGTGGCCAGGAAGCCGGAGGACATGGTCGCATGAGCGGTGAGCTCCGGATCCCGACCGGGAGATAAAGGGGGAAAGCGACCCAATATACCCAGAATGGCAGCTAAAAAACAGCGTAACACAACGGGGCAAGCCCCAGCAGTTGACACCCCGGCAGCAAAAACCTCCCTGAGAAGGTACTTTGCCGAACAGGCTGACCCGCACAGACGGGACAAAATGGCGCCCGCAGCACAAACACGCGGGAGCCAGCCATCAAGCCCGACGGCATCAGAGGGTTCCACTGAGGATCAAGAAATCCGGACCCTGCTAACACAACTGCCCTCAAAAGCAGACCTGGCAGCGATGTTCCAGAAACTGGAGGACAGCTTCAGTGAGAAACTGCAGGCAGTGGCAGCGGACGTGCAACAGCTTGGAGCCAGAGTACAAGACCTAGAGGAGGAGGCAGAACACATCAACAAAAGAGGGGCTGAAGCCTATGACACCCAGGAAACACATGCAGAGGCAATAAGGTACCTACAAAGGAGGCTGGACGATGTAGACAACAGGGGACGCCGAAACAACCTACGGGTGAGGGGAATCCCGGAAAGCGCGGAGGGTGTAACAGAAAACCCCACACAGGTTCTAACCACCCTCTTTAACCGCATCCTAGCCAGACCTAAAGACACAGCCATCACCTTTGACAGGGCTCACAGGGCAGCTAGGCCCAGAAACCTCCCTCCGGATAAACCACGAGACCTCATCTGTCGCATTCACAACTTCCCCTTAAAGGAAGAAATCTTCCGTAAAGCCCGCCAAAACAAAGATCTAACGATAGACGGCCAACCGGTAACGATCTTTCAAGACCTGGCTCCATCCACGTTACAAGCAAGACGAGCCTTGCGGCCTATCACACAGGCCTTGCTAGAGAGACAAATAAAGTTCAGATGGAACTTCCCGTTTGCACTGACAGTCAACCTCCAGAACAAAACCCACACTATTACCTCACCAGAGGACGTTCCTGACTTCCAGAGTGTCACGATTCGGGGAACCAAACACGCCAACACACACACACACACAAAGTGCCGTACCGGACCTTAGAGTGGCCGGGCTAAGCACACAAAGAATAGTCAGGAAACAAGCCGAGTAAGGGGAACCAGAAGACAGAATAACGTGAAACAAGCCGAGGTCAAAGGGTAGGAGAAAGTCACAGAGTCGGATAACAAGCCAGAGAGTACGTAACCAGAAGCACAAGTTCAGAAACAATACTAACAAGCAAAGACCACAACAGGGCAAGGAGGAACAGGAAAGGTAAGTATTTAAACCATCAGGTTAATTCTGATTGGATGATTTCCAATCAGAATTAACAATCACACGTGGGAGATATTTAGACCTCCCACTGTGATTGTGGCACTTTGCCTTTAACGCCGGGTCAGGTGACTGACCCCGGCGTGTATAAACCTGGGCGGTCTCCCAGCGTGCAGCGTCATGCATGCTGCCGCTGGGGGACGTGGAGGGAACGGCGGGCGGCATCCGAGGCTGGAAGGATGCCGCTCGCCGTACCCACGAGGCGGAGGGGACCGCGGACGGCTGGAGGGTGAGTACTGCGAGCGGAGTGCAGCCTCCCCTCGCAGCCGCCCGCGGGAGCCTGACATTACCCCCCCCTCGAAGACCGCCCAGGGGGCGGGAAGCGGAAGGCTTCAAAGGAAAGCGGGCATGAAAGGAGCGGACCAAAGAGGGAGCGTGCACATCGGAGCTTGAAACCCAGGACCGCTCCTCAGGGCCGTACCCCTTCCAGTCCACCAAATATTGCAGCCGACCCCTAGAAACACGAGAGTCGAGAAGGGCAGCCACCTCGTACACGTCGTCAGAGACAGCTCGAGGGGAAACGGGCCGCCCGAGGGGACGAGAGAACCGGTTACACAGCAAGGGTTTCAAAAGCGAGACGTGAAACGTGTTCGGGACACGCATGGAAGGAGGCAAATCAAGGGAGTAGGAAACGGGATTAACCCTACGTAACACCTTGAAAGGACCAAGAAATCTGGGGGCCAATTTCATCGAGGGAACCTTGAGACGGAGGTTCCGGGAGGACAACCATACCCTATCACCCGGAACATAGGAAGGGGCCGCAACCCTACGGCGATCAGCAAACTTTTTCTGAGCAGCCGCTGAACGAGACAGCGCAACATGGACTTGATCCCACGTCTTCCGCAAAGAGGTGAGGTGCTGGTCCAAGGCGGGCATTCCCTTGTCGGAGAACGCACCGGGAAGGACAGAAGGACGAAACCCATAAGCAACCTCAAAAGGACTTAAGCCAGTAGACGAATGAGACACCGTATTCCTGGCAAATTCAGCCCACGGAAGAAGGCGAGACCAGTCATCCTGGTGCGCATTAGTGAAGCAGCGCAAATACAATTCCACAGACTGATTAGCACGTTCGGCCGCACCATTAGATTGCGGGTGATAGGAGGAAGAAAACGACAAGGATACCCCCATCTCAGCACAAAAGCCCCTCCAGAACCGAGAGACAAATTGAGGGCCCCTGTCAGATACGATATCCTGGGGTACCCCATGCAATCGGAACACTTCTTTGGCAAATACCTGAGCTAACTGAACCGCAGAAGGCAGTTTCTTAAGCGGAATGAAGTGCGCCATTTTAGAGAACCTATCCGTCACAGTCAGTATCACCGTCTGACCATCAGAAAGAGGCAGGTCTACAATGAAATCCATGGATAAGTGGGTCCATGGTTTCTTGGGTATAGATAGAGGCATCAGAAAACCCTGGGGTCTCATATTAAGGGACTTACATTGCGTGCAGACCTGACAAGCCTGAACAAAATCCACTACGTCTCGCTTGAGTGAAGGCCACCAGAACTGTTGAAGGAGGCCCTTGTAGGTTTTGGTAACCCCCGGATGACCAGCAGTTTTGGCTGTGTGAAATAAAGTTAACAACTTTTTTCTGTCATTAGCTTCAACGTATAGTTTACCAACCGGCGTCTCAGGGGGTGCCTGGGTTTGGTATGTCTTAATACTGGTAAGGAAAGGTGAAGAAACAACCAAACGGGTAGCAGCTATTATCTGAGACTCAGGTACAATAGGTTCAGGAGTCGGGTTAACAAATTCTACTGGTTCATGCTGCCGAGAGATGGCGTCAGCCTTGGCATTACGGCAACCAGGTCTATAGGTGATAACATATTGGAAGCGTGAGAGAAATAGAGACCATCTAGCCTGCCGGGCAGATAACCTTCTAGCATCAGCAATATAGGATAGATTCTTATGATCTGTTATAACCATAATTTTGTGTCTAGAACCCTCTAATAAGTACCTCCATTCCTTGAAAGCTAACACAATAGCTAATAGTTCCCTATTCCCAACATCATAATTCTTCTCTGAATCAGACAACCTTTTAGAAAAATAACAACAGGGATGGAGGGGTTTGTCATAAGACAACCTCTGTGACAGTACGGCTCCCACACCTGACTCTGAGGCGTCTACTTCCATAACAAAGGGAAGAGAAGGATCAGGGTGGTGCAGCACTGGAGCAGAGGCAAATGCCTTCTTGAGGGTTTCGAAGGCCTTAAGGGCTTCAGGAGTCCAAACCCTAGGATGTAGACCTTTTTTTGTCAACTTCGTTATGGGAGATATGAGTGGTGAAAAGTTTTTTATAAATTTCCTATAATAGTTGGCAAATCCTATAAAACGCTGGATAGCTTTTAGTCCTTGGGGAAGTGGCCAGGACATTATAGCTTCCAATTTAGCAGGATCCATACTGAAACCCTGTTCAGTAATGATATATCCTAGGAATTGCACAGAGGTCTGATCGAATAAACATTTTTCTAACTTACAGTAGAGTCCGTTCTGCAATAGCCTTTTGAGCACCATCCTAACATGGTTATGGTGTGACTTCAAATCAGGAGAATACACAAGTATGTCGTCAAGGTATACTACAGCACAGACATGCAATAGATCCCTAAGGACATCATTTATGAGGTCCTGAAACACGGCAGGAGCATTACACAATCCAAAAGGCATGACCAGATATTCGTAATGCCCACTGCGTGTGTTGAAGGCTGTCTTCCACTCGTCATTCTCCTTTATACGGACAAGGTTATAAGCCCCCCTGAGGTCTAATTTGGTGAAAAATTTAGAACCTTTAACACGATCAAACAACTCAGTGATGAGGGGGATAGGGTAGGCGTTTTTAACCGTTATATTGTTCAGACCCCTGTAGTCTATACATGGCCTCAAATCACCCTCCTTCTTAGCCACAAAAAAGAAACCAGCACCAGCAGGAGAGGAGGACCTTCTAATAAAACCTTTTCTTAGGGATTCCTGTATGTACTCCTCCATGATTTGGTTCTCTTTTTCAGAAAGAGGGTAGACCTTTCCCCTAGGAGGCATAGTGCCCGGTAAGAGGTTTATGGCACAATCATACTCACGATGTGGAGGTAGCTTATCTGCCTCCCTCTTCTCAAAAACCAAGGCAAGATCCGCATAAACAGAGGGCACAGAAACCGAGAGTGGTTTAGCCGTGGGTACGTTAAGTAAACAGACAGGATGTACATGAGCCACACAGTCTCGCTGACAAGATTCCCCCCAGGAAAGTATGTCTAAACAACCCCAATCAAGAACAGGGTTGTGTTTAACTAACCAGGGAAAACCTAGAACGATGGAGGCTGTTGGGGAGTTAATTATTTGGAAGGTTAACTTCTCTTTGTGCAAAACACCCACAGACATAACTATTTCCTGGGTTTCATGGGTCACCAGAGGTTTCTCCAGTGGTCTACCATCTATGGCCTCAACGGCCAAGGGTGTCTCCTTTCGAATCAAATTCAGGGCTGCGGTTTTGGCAAAGGTCTCATCCATAAGGTTGTCTGCCGCACCTGAATCGATCAGGGCTTTGGTTGTTATAGTGGTTTTATTGACCAAGAGAGAAACCGTAATAAACGTCTAGAGATGGACATATGAGGGGACAAGGTCATAACACCCGAGGCCGACCCCTCTCTAGGCCTTAGGTGCTGCAGTTTCCCTGTAGTTTAGGGCAGGCTTTACAGTGATGCCCCCTCTTCCCACAATAAAGGCATAACCCCTCCCTTCTACGGTACGCTCTTTCGGCCTCAGTTAACCCTGTAGCACCCAACTGCATGGGTTCAGGGGATGGCTGCACAGGAGCGGGTAACGCTAGCAGGGAAGTACTGGGTAGAGCAGGTAACACCCGTGTATCCAACCGTCTTTGGCTACGCCTCTCTCTAATACAGTTATCTATAAGAATCACATAGTCTATAACATCATCTAGCAGAGCAGGTAATTCCCTGGATGCTATTTCATCCAGTATATAAGCGGCCAGACCCTCCTGAAAGGCTGTTACGAGGGCGTCATTATTCCAAACCACTTCAGCTGCTAGAGTACGAAATTCGATAGTGTAATCTGCTACAGACCTGTTACCCTGTCGGACCCTAAGCAGAGCCTTGCCAGCAGAAGCAACCCTACCGGGTTGATCAAACGTGCGTCTGAAAGCTGTCAGAAAATCAGCAAAGGACATAGGAGACGTATTTTCCCAAATGGGGTTGGCCCATGCTAAAGCTCTCCCGGACAAGTGGTTTATCAAAAAGGCAATTTTAGATCTGTCAGTGGGATAGGAGCGTGGATTCATCACCAAATGGATGTCGATTTGGTTGAGGAAACCACGACACAATGCTGGGTCACCACTGTAGCGCTGTGGCGGCGTCATGTGAACTACATGAGCGGGAACAGGTACTGGAGTGGGAATGGGTTCGGGCACAGCAGCAGCAGCCTCCTGAACGGCCGGTTGCAAGTGTGCAGTACGAGCCAGAATGGTTTGTAAAGCTTGAGCAAACTGATCCATACGGTGGTCTAAGCCATCCATTCTAGCCTCTTGATTAACTAGAAGCTGTGGTATGTCAGCAGGTTCCATTATGGCCCTGTTGTAATGTCACGATTCGGGGAACCAAACACGCCACACACACACACACACACACAAAGTGCCGTACCGGACCTTAGAGTG